CAATAAATGACTGAAACCCAGAAATGAATTTGATTTGGGATAAATTTTAGAAATCAAAGGTCGACAAAAGCTTACTTTAAATTAACTGTACATACAAAGGATATAATGATTCAAGAATCAAATGATTCAATTAGGCGATCAAATTAATAGCATGCAGTCACTTTTTTCCAATATAAATTTACTATACAAAAACTACTTTACATATCTTTAATATTTCGGTTTGCACCTGAAAGAAATTTTTATTCGTGAATCATCAAAGGTACCTAACCGATGAAAGTATGATACACATTTATTTTGGAAAAGTGACCGATTACCCTGTCATGAATACGAGAAACGAGAAACAGGTTGCAGGAAATGCCGGTTTCAGACCTGCTCGTCCTGACGTTTGGTGGCCAAAAATCGGTTCTTATCGGTTATTATAAAAAAAAAATATGTCTGTATATGATACCATTTTCTACAATTTTATTGAATTATTTTGAATTTTTAATCGACACTCCATTAATTTGTTTGGTTCATGCTCACATATATTTTAGAAACCAGAAGAAAACCGTACTGATTGCAGACCAAAACGAGTTTTCTCTTACCGCAAAGTCTGCCAATTTTCTGGTTTGCGTTTTGTAAGGTTGAGCAATTACGGTTATCCAGAACTTCTATAAAGATCTTGGTTCGTCAAAGGCGCCCAAACCTGAAATCAGTATGAAAAGACTCCAGACAAGCGGTATTGTCGACCGAAGCAAAATAAGCCATCAAACATATGAATAACAGGAAGGCACCAGAAGAAAACTACATTACTGCTGAAATGCGGAGGAGACACTTGAGAATGCACTTTGAGATGACATTACATGAACAGATACAACAGCCATAGTAGAACGCGGCATTTATTCTTATCCATCAGAAAGGAGACAACACTGATATTGCAAACTATTGACCAATTAGCCTTTTCTCACATCTCTACAAGCACAAATCGCTTGACAAATAAGCAAGATTTTTATCAACCGGCTGAACAGGCTGGGTTTAGAAAGACATATGGTACAATGGATCACCTACAGGCAATCCCTAGTTTCAATCAAACAAGTTTTTGTAAATAAGTGTGTTACAAAAACTTGTTTGATTGAATTCCATCCAGTGTGTACACACCAACTTCTTGTAATCCCTAGTTTGGTTAGAAAATGTACGGAATTCAACATACCACTAAATCTAGTTTGTAGACTACGACAAAGCTAGGTACTCTTTGGACAGACGGGCTGTGCTTAACGCAACACGTTACGCGATACATGAATTACTACAAAATATTATAACCTGATTAAACACATTTTTGAGAATGTTACAATGCAAGTAGCCATTCCCGAAGACTTGCAGACAGAATGAAAATGGAGAGAGAGGTCGGTCACACTATATCTTTTAAGCTGTTCACCCTTGCGCCAGAAAACGTTTTTGGAAACCTACCATGGTAAAGCAAGGATATCGACATAGACGGAACACGGTTAAACCACCTTAGCTTTGCTGATTATATTGTGGTCATCAGCGACGGCGTCGGTAAACTAGCAGAAAATTGACCTTGAACCTTAAAAAACCAAAACAATGACCAGCGTTAACAAAACAAAAACATTTCATTCCGTCGACGAATACGTATAAATGGAATACTCAATCGGACTCGGAAAGGAAAGCCAAACATCTGAAGTAGTAAAAAGGACACGACTGAGTTGGGCAGCGTTCGGCAAACTTGAATACATACTCAATTCCCAAAGCATTCCAATTAATCTGGAGCGAAAAATGTATGGAAGCCTGAATTCTGCCGGTCACCACATAAGACATAGAAGCCATGGGGCTAACGAAGAGAAATGTCAAAAACCTTAGAACAACCCAAAGAGCTATGGAACGAGTTATGTTGGGGACCACCTTGAAGGATCACATAAGAAAAGATGATATGCTTCTGATGGTTGATAGCCATCAAGTGACCGGTGTAATGCAACCAAACGATATCAGTTTTGTAATAAAATAAGTCGATAATATGACTTTTGGTTTTAGTAATAAGTTAATGATATTTCACTCACTATAAAAAACCATAGAAGTGTCTTAGATTTACCTATTTATATATTTTTTCGATATGCTCTCAACTGTAGTTCTTATACATACTGGCGCATTGACATCACACTCACGACATAAACGTAAGCCAAATAAAATGTGTAAATATTTCTCAAATATTTAATGGACCTATTTTCAACGTATTTTCACATAAAACATTTCCAGCTTAAAAACCGGTTTTAAAGTTTAATATTTTGTAGTCCTTCTCTTATAACCTCTTCTTACAGACTCTTTTCGTTAGATTTTGGAAACGATTTCCAGCAGGTTCGCTGGGTCAAATTACTGACAACATATTACTTTTAATTTTATTAAGTAATTATTATAACTTAAATACTTCTGATTAAAAATTTCTGACATTTTTCTCACCCGGTGTATAGTTTCAAGGTTTAGCGATAAATATTTTAATTCTTTCAGGTCAAGCTTTTACGATGCTGTGGATAATATTATTAATAA